AGCTAAATAAAATATTAATATTTTTGTTATTTTAATTGTTTGCAAGAAAATATAATGCAATTATTTTCAACAAATCTTTTATTTTCAAAAATTTATTCAAAGACTAGCACCCACTTTCTGTAAGACGTATGACGAGACAAGGTAGGATATTCTTCAAAAGTTTTGTTGTTTTCAGTATAGAATGGAAAATTTTTTTATATATAATTTAATATTTTTTTCTTTATTTTTTTTTGAAAATTTAATTTATTTAATGTATTTCAAAAATCTGACTTTGCTCTGAAAACTTACAAACTTTTGAAGAACTTTCTATCCCGTCTCGTTTTACGTCTAACAGAAAGTGGGTATAAAATTATGACAATTAATTAAGTTATTAAAATTGTTAAAAACTCATAAGACATAAACATAATAAAAATCGTGTAAACAATGCTGTATTAAAGCGAAATATAACTCGTCGCTTATGTTGATATATTTTTCTTAAAACTTATTTGTAAGAATTGCAAAAATCAGTTTTCTAATATTTGTTACGTACGTTAAATATAAAAACAAAATGTGCACAAAATCTTAAAAAGTGCAAAATTTTTCAACAAAGGGGTCAAAATGGAACACTAGTTCAATTAATTAAAAAAAAATGTATGATCTTTTTGTTTGTGGTAACACGGTTTCAGATTCCCTATATCATAATTTGAAATTCAATTACCGCAGCCCTGTACAATAAATATTCGTAAACCGTATTGTAAAAAGAAAAAGGTGTATGAAATATAATTTGTGCGCACGAATAAACATCTTATTAGCCTGAGTCTTGATCTACAACGCTTGCAGAAGAAATAACATATAAAAGAAAGGAAATTAAAAAAAAAAGAACATGCAGAAAAAGAAAACGAAGAAAAATACATATACTCTTCATGGATCTAGTAATACATGGATAGCTGGCAAATAATAATTTTTGAAGCCAATATAAAATATATTGCTTTCTTGATTTTATTTTTCGCATTAAAAGCATTAAAAGTGTTCCCAGAAGCGGTTTGAAAATATGGTTAGGTTAATCAATTAATTTAGAAATTTACGTAAGTTTAATTTTTTCAATAAAAAATTTATAATTTTTCAAGACCATTATATACATACATATTTTTATTTTAGACAGATAGAATTATTTCTGCAAAATTAAAACAAATGTTTGCTTCATATTGCTGTGTATTATTGCTTATGTCTATTACATTAAATTATTGATTGGAAAACAAAATAGTTTTCATTAAATGTAAGCGAATTTTTTTTCTTAAATGTAATGTTAAGCTTAATTTTAAAACTTTAAAATTGAATGATAGAGATATGGCAACTAAGTCACTGTGTATGATGATATGATGATATATAAAAAATACACTCATTGAATTTTTAAATTTCACCATTACTTTTACATCACTGTACAGTCGCCTTGAAAATACCATACATCACAAAATGCTTAAAATATGATTTAAACGAGTGCTTTAAAAGACTTAAACATAAAACTGATTTAAACGAATTGTTGTAGCAGTTATTTCCAATTTAGCGATCAAAACAAACGAGTATTAGTAACCATTAAGAAATTATTTTGACGTCTACCTACATTTTTTTTTCCTTATTCACTCCTAGAAGGAGCATAGGGCTAGTGCATGATTATCATGCCACAGTTTCATAGCGTCATACAGTTAACTAGGTAGATGACTAGCCTGCCGCAGTTTTATTTATATTACAATTATTTGAGGTTATTAATATTTACTGTTTATTTTTCTTAGTTTTTTTTTAATATCGAATATTATGAAAATTTGAAAATTACTTGTATAATATTTGTAAGTATTGTATATTAAGTTACAATAATATTGAATATAATTTTTAAAGTGGCCTGACCGGGGTTTGAACCCGAGACCCTTCGGTGCCATAACCACTGCACCAATGGTCAGATCGTCTACCTACATAAGTACGTTATTATAGCATCTTATAAGCTGTGGAGATTAATTTCATAAAACGTACAAGAACTCAATTGTATGGTTTTGTGTTAATTTTTTGTTGTTGTTAAATATTTTAAAATATTTGTATACTTATTCTATTAACAGGCAAAGATTTAAAAGGGAGATTAAATATTATGTTTAACAATAGAAAATTTTCAAGGATGTTTAAAGTACAATATTTGAACTGCTAAAAATGTGAAACAGTATTTTAAAAAAATCTTTTGTTATTTTATCTTCACAATTCCAAAAATGTATAGACATCTCTTGCTAGTAAAATTAATATCGTTAATATTTTCAAAAAATTGTTTTACTGGTAAAGCCAACTTCATTATAATACATAAAATAAAATTTAATTTCTTCAGAAAATTTTTCTTCGTAATATTCACAAAAAAAAATCAAAATTTAAATATTTCTCACTTTAACAACGAAAGCGAAAATTTAAATAACAACTTATAGGTTCAATTGAAGACACTATGGTAATACTAAAATTTGCTTAAACGTAAAATTTGACATTGTCAATTTGACATAAAGCGTCATATGGCAATGTACATTATCTTGACTTCATTTTTTTTTATTAAGTAAATGAGTGTTAGCCATCTGTTCTATTAGATGCATGGACACATGTGGTATAAGAAAATATTGGGAATAATTTTTTTACAACTTTGTTTTGTTTGGCAAATTTGATAGTGCCGACTTGTACTGAATTCAACTTTTCCTCTGTTACTATTATATTCCTAAAAGTTTCAAATCAATTTACAAAATTGAATTTATTAAGCCAAAATATAAAAGAATTATTAAATTTTTCGTATAATAACAATATATAGAGTGTACATTTTTTCTAATTTATATCCTATTTATTTGAATTTATTTGGTATATGCAAATTCAAAAATGATTTAAATTTTCATGTGCCGCGATTTCTTGCTTTGCTTTCAAAATGTAAGTAAGTAGTGATATCTTGTGTTACTTATTATACACATGCATTATATGGGTTCATTTTTGAGCTGAGCAATTTTTAGTCGAACTATTTTTTCTCTTGTATGTCTAAAAAAAGCTGATCGTTTTTTTTTTTATTATAAAGCAATCATTACTTTTTTGACAAGAATTTTTTGTAATTGTAATAGTTCAGGATACGTAAATTTGACCTTTTAAAAAACCTCCGCACTAAAGTTGAAGTTGATTCAACTTTTTCAGAGAGAGAAAAAAAGCTGTACTAAAAATAAAGAGAATGTCAAAATTTCAAATATTCATATAAAGTACGTTAGCTCGTCCAGTGAATCCAGGAATGAACAAGTGAATCCAGCTTCATGAAATTAATGCCAGTTATGAATTTGTATTTAAAGTAAATCGAAATAATTTTTTTGTTTTTGTAATTTATGTAACACACAAAATTTTATGCTGACTGAAAATACCAGTATTTATAAAAGCAAAATGATGTCAAATATATGATTTCAAATTAAAATTGTGCTTTAAAAATTTCACCAATTGTTTTCTTAATATCCCTTAAATTTTTAAAAGGCTCAAAAGAATAAGCTAAAAAAAAGTATTTTAATTTTTGATTACAATTTAAATAAAAACAAAATTTTTTAATTAATTATGAGTTAAGGATATTTGTATTTATTAGTTGATTTTTACTGCATATTTAAATAGCAAATAAATCTTATGTATACAAATACATATGTGTGCATGCATGTGCATAAAAAAACGAGCCTTAAAAAATGTTTGTATAAATTTTTCTATTGGGTGCTAAGAGGATCAGTTTCGCACAAAACAATTTCTGTGAAAATTTGCATTAAAAAATCCTCTGCATAAAACTAATTTAAAGAAAATAAAGATAGATGAAAAAATCTTTGTGTGAACACAGCACAACAAATGTTGTTTTTTTGTTAAGTTGACATGTTAATTAATTAGAATGACGTTTATGCCAAGTAAAACCTGTGGGATGGCCAGATTGAAATAAATATATAAATCAATACAATGTACAATTTTATTAGAAGGCTGACGGAAATACCGATTTGGACTCTAAGAGAGAGTGACTGAACCCAACTGACGAATTTACACGTATTCTTATAGAAGCCCTTTTTTAACATGATAAATCTTCCACGAAATCAACTTTTTTTTTCATTTTTAGCCAGAAAAAATTAAAATTCAATCAAAATTATAATTAAAATTTCGAGTTGAAATTTTCGATATGTTCTTCAGAACACTCTAAATTTCATTTTAATATAAAAATTGATAAGTTTTCAAATGTTTTTTATACAAAACTCGAAATGAAAATAGAGAAAAATAATGATTTTTTTTCAAAAAGAAAATCAAAAATTCGGTTAACTTGTTAAAATTAAAGTAAATTATCCAATTACGAAAATTTATGAGTACATAAAGAAGAAATTTTGAAAGTGCAATATTTTAAAAATGCTGTATTTAGCGCAAAACGGTCAGAAATTCATACACACATTCGATATATCTACATATTTGTGTTGAACACATTCGATATGATAAATTATCTGAAATTGAAAAACTAAACGAAAAATTAAAAATCATAATTTTGTTGTTTTACATTTTTAATGTTTGCTCCAAATTTATTATATAATATATATTGTTAATTGAAATTTGACAATCTAAAATAAAAAATTATTTTAGATTGTCAAATTTTAATTCAAAATTAAGAGTAGCTGGCATTTTTAATTTTCAAACTAAAATTTTTTGACAGTTGACATTTTCCTTTAAATTTCTATATTATGTATTTACTTCACACAAGCATATTTACCTCATTAAATTTGTTAGATACAAACATATATATATACATACATATATTATTTAATACAACTTTGAGTTGAGAAAAAGAGAAAACATGTTTGTTCGACTACATTTATAATTTTATACACATGGAATCCCAACCCAGTCCAAATCCATAAATTTTACACATTATTATTTCTCGTACACAAACATACATACGTTTATTTATTTATTATATGTATATAAAAAACAGTTTTGAAGTTTCTCGTAAATGTCGAATTGAATAATAAAAAAAGGCCGCCGTATTGTTTTTTTTCTTTATGTTATTAAAAAAGTCCGGCATAAAGTTTGTAATTTTTTGTCCATATTTTATTTTTTAATAATATATTTTATTCTATAGTTTAATTATTCAATATTAGCTTGTACTTAATTAAAAAAAATAAAGAATTGCAGTTTTTTTTAAATTATTTGTTTACAAATTGTGTGTTTTGTGAAATATAAAAAAAGCAAAAATATGTAAAAGAATTGTTTTGCGGTGAGTAATAAGCGCGTCGTGCATGTTTTCATGAACATTTGTTAGTACAAATTTTTATTTTTATAAAAACATTGCAAACATTTCAAAGTTAAAAAGTGTTTACAATAATTTGAAAATTCCCTCACATAAAATACCTGTATAATTGATCAAAAAAATTAAGCAGTGCTTTGTATAGATTGTAGTTCGTTTCTAAATAACATTTAATTTAAAGTGCATTGCACTCATAGCAAATTAAAAAAAATATATATATTTGTACATACTTATATAGCTACTTAGATTGTGTTTTATTGGTTTTATTTTTTTAATTTCACGGAATTTAATTAACTGTAGTGGTGTAACAAACAAGAAAAGTTAAAAAACTAAAAAAAATTTGCATTTATAAAGAAAGAAGTTCTTTTTTAATTTTTGTGTCATTCTTTTTTACACATTTTTAATTTGTCTTGTTGGTTTTTATTAAAGAGTTATTAATTTTTGCTTAATTAAGAGGTTAAAATTAAACATCATCTGATAAGAATATTTAAACGGTCCAACTATAATTTTTGAGAGTAAGTACGTATGTACATAAACATACATTTACATACTTAATTATATTCCTAAGTAAAGTTAGAAACAGATGCATTAATATATATGTACATATTATCCATGTGTTATTATCCCCATCAATATGACAATTACATATTTTGATGGATAAATATATGTGTATATATGTGTATGTTTAGATTATCCACATACCCTATGTATTATTTTCATTCATTCAAATCATTAATAGTTAATACACTTATGTTCTATCTTACGATATAATAATAGTTATATAAATATATCTAACTATATACATATATGTACATATGTTGGTATAATATTATACCAACATATAATATTTTAGTATTTTTACTTATATGTAATGTAATATGTAATTTTTTCTTATATGTATTTTAAATGGCCACATAATTAAATTTGTTCAAATTAAAATTTAAATCTAATTATCTATCCCCTTAAATAAAAAATTGCTTCTTTCTAAGGCCACAAAAATAACCACGCTTCGCATCTATATTCACGATTATATGTATATATGTATACATATATAGGTACACACACATTTATATATATATGGATATAAATAAATACATAAGTACCTATCTAATTCTTTTTTATAATTCTATTTAATTTAGACAGAATTTATTTTAGGAACCTACATATTTAAGTAATTTAGTAATAACTTCTTATTTTATTATAAATATTATAAGTTATTTGCAGCCCATTGATGTTATTTATTTTAAAGTTAATAAAGAAAATATTATAATTTTACAAGTTTAATGTGAATAACTACCTGTTTAGCAAGATACATACAAATATGAGTGCCTATCTAGTTCTGTATATATCTATTTAATAACACAAAGCTATTAACAAATATTATGTACAGGCCTACCAATGTATTTAGGTACCAACACCATGCTTAAACATAGAAAATATGTTTGTATTTGATTAAATTCTAGACGTTAAAAAATCTGACTTAGTTAATTTAAATTCTTGTTTTTTTTTTCACTTTGATTTAACTTTGATTAAACTTTGTTTGGCTCCAATACAATATTTTACGTGTTTTCAAATCAGTATGGTCAGATTAGTTTTTTGCACATTCCTAAATAGGAAAATGAAAAAATTAATTAAAATACTTACTTTTATTTCATATAAAACAATCTTGAGTATGAAAATATATTTCTCTAACTATAATTTTAAAAACAGTTTGATAAAACCTTCAGTTAAATTAGTATCGAGCTTTATTAGTATCTGAAATTTATTTTTTATATGTTCCAAAATATGTTAATTCCATTGTTTCATTTGTTTCAATATTCCATATTAAATATCGTATTACTCCTATTTGTTTGAATATTTACTATCGTATTACTTTTAAGTTTGGACCTTAATCTTTTGTGTTTACATTATTGTCTTAAATATCTTTTAATTTGTTTCTAGAAATAGCCATTCAAAATTTGCAAAAACAAATTTTGTAATTTCTAATTTTGAAATTTTGATAAATCCCTATTGCAATTAAGTATAGAATTTTTTAGGTTGTATTTTTAACTAGAAACTTACTTTTTATGAAAATAAGTCTGAAATAAATTTACAATCAAAAGGAATTTATATTGATATTTTGTTGTAAAATGCTGTAATTTTTTTCCAATTCTCAGAATTAGATGTCTTTTTCATTTCACAAAATTTCCATTACAAAGAAAGTTATTTTACATCTGACAACACTAATTCAAACGCATATCTAGATACAACTAAGTATGTAAATATATCAAATAGCATTTTGATAGTATGGCAATAGGTACTTATATATATATTATGTGCTTATAATAATAATATTAATAACAATATATGTACTCCATCCATAACTTATTTGTATATTGTTATCTGAATTTTAAAAGCATTTTGTAAATTTCGTTAAACTACAAATACATTTTTCTTTTCATCTTTATTTAATTGACGATTTAGTTGGAATAAAAGATGTAAGTAATGCAAATATATTGGAAATACTGACTTTTAAGTTTTTGGAAAACCATTTTTTATTTTCTTTTTACCTAATTTTTACATCATTAATTAATACTTCCTACCTACATATTTATGATGATTTTTCTATGATAGTGTGGTACTTTAAATAAAATTTTATTCACTTAATTACTAATATTGAAATGCACGTGGTTGAAAGCTATAAGAACGTAAGCTTTACAAAAAAAAGAATAATCATATCTTTCAAATATCTGTTTGAAAATCACTGAGGAAAAAAATGAAAAATTAAATGAAAAAAATCATAAACCAAGTCTAAATCAAGACGAAAATCGACAAACACTGAAACGAACTTAAATTAAGTTAAAACAAATTTAAAATAAATATGCATAAACTTAAATATTTATTTACTAAAATTAAATGAGTTACACTTGATTTAAGATTTTTCATGAGTGTTTGAACTTATTTAAGATCTCAATTTAAGTTTAAGCAATCTCAATTCAAATTTTGTTAAAATTGAAATTGGGAGCAGGGCCTATAAATTTTAGTTTACTAACCTATTTATTTAAATTTAAACAATTTTTATTTCAACTGTTAAAAATTTAATTTAAGGGTTGAAAGTTTTGAAAAGAGAATTTGCTTTAAAAAAAATATCAAACTATGGTGTGCAAAAAAAGTTTTAAATTTTCAAGGATCGAAAAATATGTTATTAAATAAGTTTTTATTTTATTTTTTTATTACTTTTTTAAAAATTGGATATTTTTCGCTCTTTGAAGATTTCGCAGTTTTGAATACCATATTGATATTTTATATTATGAAGTTACTCTTTTATTTTATTAATTAAATTTAAATAAATTGGAAAAACAGTTATTGTGCAAATTTAAGTAATTAATATGTAAGTTACCTTAATCCGCAATTTTGAAAAACTTTATTTAGGTAAATTTCTTATGCTGCTCTGAGTTAGTAACCTTTTGCAACAACTCAGAGAAGTATGTACTTATTATTAACAAAATGAAAGCTTAAAGATTTTAACATTTTATTAAAATAAAATATTTATTTTTCAGTAACATACATAAGTATATTATTATTTTTCTTCATTCATGATAATTCTTACATAAACTGTTAACAAATATTTAATTCTTATATAAGTTTTTTCGTTATTAATTTGCTTGTAACGGCAGACTTGTAAAATTAAATATTTTCCTCTACTTGAAGATGAAATTTTTTAGAAAAGTTCTAGACAAAAAAATATTTAAATATTGTTTATTACTGACCGTATTGTGTATACAATAGGTGATGTAGGTAGGTGATGTGATGGCAACAAATTTTGTATATCGAGTTTTCGCTGGGAATTTACTTCTCCATGGTAGGGAAGCGTAAATAAATTACTTTTAGCAACCCGTCGGTCTGTGTTTGCACGCGTGTATCTGAAGTTCAGCCGAACCGATTTTGGTGAAATTTTATATATAAGACCATGGCGCGGATTGATTAACTTTTGGCATATATCAGGCCTCGGGAACTGGGCCTATTTTACATTTTCGACCATTTAGAAGAAAATATTCAACCGATTTACTTGAAATTTCATATATAAGCTTCGTTCGACCATCCGCAAAACTTCCTAACTTTTGAAAGAAATCAGGCATCGTATTAAAGAGAAATAATCAACCAATTTAATTGAAATTTAGTATTTAAGTTCTTCGTGTTAAAACAATGAACATATAAATTTTTTGGAAAGATCGGGGCTAGAGAACTGATCTGCGGGCGGATTTTACATTTTTTATCATATCTACGAAAGGAATTGATGGAATTTCCTGAAATTTGATATTTGAGTTCTGGTTATTACCGAAACTGGTAGGCATTTCAGGGAATTCGGGTAGCACAAAGCGAAACTCTACTAAGAGCCAAATTTACATTTTTCTAGGTATGTTAACGATAAGATTACTAATGTCCTAAAAATTGGAAAGAATTATTTAACAGACATTTTTGTAATATTCTGTAACACTTTCACTTAACTAGACAATACACATTGCGGTCATTTATGTTCTGACCACATCAGATTTTTTTTATTATTCAATTTTTAAAAACACTTTTTTAAATTTAATATGTCATCTATTTTTTAGTTTAAGCAAGTCAAAACACGTTTTCACATAGAACGAATTATGAGAAAAAAATAATTCTCCTCGAATTTGTCTCGTTATAATATGAGAAAATATGTTTAATACATTTAATTTTAAGTTGATTGATTTCATTTTAAGCTTGTCATAAATATAAATGTAAGTTTAAAAATTGGATTTTTAAATTTTGATATTGTCATCATGTCAAACTTATTTTAATAACTGTAATTTTACAATAAGATTTTGAAATTTTAATTTTAGTCTAAGTTTGAAAATACTTATTTTAAGTTTGGTTTTGAGTTGAAGTAACTTTGGAAAATATTAATTTAGGTTTGCAATAAATACTAAAATGAAATTAAAACAAATTTAAATTACCAATTAAAATTTTGATTTGATTTTAAGAATAGAAAAATTTAAATTTAACATTGTTAAAGTAAAAGTTTTAACAATATTTATAGAATTCAAAATTAAAACAAAATTTTCATATTAAATTTTGAAAATGTTAAATTGAAACTTAAATTGTTATTTCTTTTTATATTTAACGTTTTTCATAGTAAAAATAACATTTTCGTTAAAAAAATTTAAATTAAGTACTTACGCAAAATTTTAATTTTTCCATTTTTTTCCCTCAGTGAAGACCACAATTTTCTTTTTGCTTCTTAATTTTTTTTATATGACGCTTATTAATTATGCAAATTTAACATAATGTAAGCATATACACATAGGCATGTTTTTCTGCATATGAAAATAAAATCAGAATATGTATGTATTAACGTTTCGATAAGTAATTATTTAATGTGTGTTTATACTACCCTACTATCTTTTTCTAAGATGTATGAATGTATTTAACGTAAGATTACTATCTTACTATAACCAAAGTATATCTACTAACAAGTAGTTCGACTCTCCGTTTACATCACACTAATGCAATCACTCACCAATATTTGTATACAAAAAACTCCCTTAGTTAAAAGAGTTAAGCAGTATACCTTCTTATTTTCATTTTTATGCACATAAGAATTTTTGAGAGAGGGAAAGAGTACGCAATAGCTGTCAACCTGCTTTTTTATAATGTATTTTAAAAGGCGACACTTTATTATTCGTATATAAAGTATAGGGAAAAATATTAAGAATTTAAAAAGCGACACAATAATTTCTGTAATTCATTCCAGTACAAGGTGGCAAAAAATGTGTATTATATTATAAAAGCGAAGAAGAAAAAAAGTGTTTAAAAAAAATTATTATAATTTATATAATATAATTTTGAAATATAATAAAAATAAATTTTAAAAAGACGTACTTATAATATTAAAAAAAATTTGAAATAGTTGTGAAAAAAAATATTTTTCAGTTTTTTATAAACCATCCAAGAATTTCATGGATAATTTAAAGAATTTAGAAAACACTTTTATTAAACTTTTTAATGATATTTGTACAGAAAAAAATTTAGAATGTAAAATATATGAACAGTTAAAAAATAATTTCATCTATGAATGTTTGAGAATTAGAATTTACCACATAATCAAAAGTTTTAATAAAACTATAAAACAATTTGATATAAAACAAAAAATTTTTAGTGTTAAGCATTTGTAATTAATAATTGTCAAAAAATAAAATAAATAAATTATCTTTAAATTTTTTACTTTTATTTCAATCTTAATAAATTTAGAACATATTTCCCATGAATTGTTAATAATTATATTTCATAAAGTAAAAACACCATATGCATACACCTTTTTTTTCCTTATAAATTACTTTATTTCTATGTTACTACCTGATAATTTGTATCTATTGTACCAGGTACATACATGTGTACATTCATACCTGAAATTTCAAACTCTTTTGCTTTCATACATTTGAATTTTTTTCCTAAATTTTATAAAATGAAAAATAAATTTTGTTATTATCAAAAAATAACAAAATAACAAAATTTTTACCTAACTTAATTTAATTTTATTTTAGTTCAATGTTTTTGATACACTCGTTTGTTTACAATATTTTGTTTCTTTCTTGCCTACACAACTCTTATTACCATCTATTTCTAAAAAAAATTGGAATATTTTAAGAATTTGGAAGCAAGATGCAAATGAAAACTAACGGAATGGAACGAGTCGAATTACTTATTAGTAGATATACTTTGGTAATAACATAGCATTGGTTTGTAAATTTCCATAACGTAACTATTTGTGTCGTTAACAATACGAGTACTTAACTACCGCATAAACAATATGTAAAAATAGGCTAATGTTAGTAGGTAAAAGCAAACACATATGTATTTCATTTATGGATTATGGATTCTAAACTTTAAAAATTTCTATCAGTACTAAATAGTGTTAAATTTTTTTTTAACTAATATAAACAATATAATTATTTATATTGTTTATATAAAAATATAATAATTTAAAATGTAATTTTTTATTTTATTTTAATTTGAAATGTTGTTATAGTTTTTTTTAATTATCCCCAACAATTTTATATGAATGCATGTTTGTATGCATGTAGACACATAAAGGTATAGCTTAGAGTTTCTCTTCCATATTATCAAGACATTCATTTGAAGAAGATTCTTTCCTTTTCTGAAAAAATTTAATTCCACTTCAACTTTACTGAAGCAATTTTTGAAATACTTACATACTTTTCTTACTTATTTATGTTCTTTAATTTTTAAGAATGCAAATGAAAATAATTTAAAACATATATCTATTTCTGAGGAGAAATTTGGAATATTTTCGAGAACGAGGTTTGTGAGGGAATTTCAGCTTAACCGAACTAAAAAACCATTGAATTACAGTCTTACCAGTTTACAGTCTTATTCGAACAAATTCGACGGGAACATAACGGATAGGTAGTTTTTTTTACTGTCAAACCAACTTATAAACTTGTTAGTTTGCTCAGTTCCCTAAGTAAGATTACAGAGCATGTTGATCTGCAATTTTTTAATAAGCATAAAGAGAAAAAACAACAATTTTTACATAAGCACTTTATAATACTTTGAAAAAGTTCAGTCTTATTCTTACTAACGAAAGAGATTTAATCCTTAACGTCCTTTAAACGATTTTCTTTTTATGAAAATATTTTTAACAAAGCTTTGTTTTTTATTTTTGCTTTGTTATGTTTAACTAATATTTATAAAGAAGTGGATTTAAAGTTTGTCCTTTTGTTTTCCTTTGCCTTGTTTTTGTAATTCATTGTTATTCTAGAAGTCAATTTTTGAATTGATTTTGAAGAGATTAAAATTTTGTTCATGTTGTTTCTCTCGTCTTTGATTCTTTGTTATTGTCATTGAGAATTTTCAATTCTTGTTTTCTTATTGTCATCATCTGTATATATAATTATGTATATATTTTTATGTGTTGAACTGCAGAAAATATTTTGTAAAAAATTATAAATTATGAACAAAAATTTTCTTTTTTCTCACTTTCCAATATACCTCTGCCCTTAATTCTTTTTTTTTTATCCCAAAAGCATTAGCGTATACTGCAAGATTTTAGTGATTTATTGGTATGTCACATAATTTTATAATACATTAATATATTTCTCTCATATCTAGTAATTATAATAAATGAGTGCTACAACTACGTTATGCTTTGTAAGTTTAGATAACCACTTAAGTTCGCACTATTATTAGCTTCAAATTTTAAACTAAAATGCGTTCAAAGGACAAGTTCTTAAATTCAAAGTTAATTTTCTAAAATGCTTTAAACTTTTACCATTTTCATTATAATCCTAAATGATTTATAGGTTGGGTGAAACAAATGTGGTGAACATTTTCGAGCTATTTGAAGAAAGTATTTATTTAGTATTTTAAGCGCATTTTAAACAAAATTGAAAAAAGTGTCTATTCATTTAGGGAAAAAAATTTTTCTTATGTTTTCTTGTCTGTAAATCTCAAAAATCAGACTTTTTAAGAATTAATTGATTTTAACGTAACTGTTCATTATTGCCATAAGTCATGTACGTCTGGTTAAACTTTAACAATAATATTGTAAATTTACTTGAAAGTACGTGCTTATATTTTGTTTGTTCAAAATAATTATTATTTCCGGAAATTATGAAATTTAAAAAGCTCTTGTGGAACCAGATAATAAAATGAAAAGAGAAGCAATAAAATCATTTTTATTAAAAACTATACCTGCTTATGTGTCTTGACTGATTTAAATAGAAGTTTGATTAAAACGTTATGTTAAATCAGTTAGGAATTTAACTATTTTTAAATTTATTTAGTCTACATAATATTACAATATTCAATTTGAACGCATATACAGGTTTTTATTATGAATTTTTAAATTAAATACTTAGTGAAAATTCTTTATGCAGTTTTATATAATTGTAATGATTCTCATTTAAAATTCTGTCAGATAAAAATATATGATTATTTTTTTATCTGTCAGATACAAAAATAAATTTTAATTTGTGGTCATCTTTAATGCTAAATGTTTTATAAAGAAACCCCTTAATTTTTATATCTTATCGCAAAAAAATTTGGGGTTGTGGAGGTGTAACCAAATAATGGCATTGAATAGCCTATGATAAGACAAGAAGTTTTTGTTACCATTCTTTTGGCCAAAATTTTTTGATTTTTATCTTTGAAAATATTTATTATCCTTCAAAGACTAATTCAAAACTCAAAAAATTTTTAAATGAAATTTAAAATAAAAATTTAGTTAAATTAAATAAAAAGTATGAAGATTTTAACTGGAATCACTTAATTTATAATTATTAGAAAAGCTAAAAATTTACTAAAAGCCACATGTTAATAGTTCGTCAAGAAAAATACCGAAATAAATATAAAAAATAGAATACTTAAAAGTAAAAAAATTTATTTTTGTTTTTGCCAAAATTGAATACCCACTAATTTTAAGTTTATAGAGACCATTTTTATAGAGTTTCTTAAGATCTTTGCAAAAATAAACAACAGGATCATGGCCCCGCCACATTGCACTAATCACTTTTATTTTTGCATTTTTTAATTTGCATTCTTTAACATTTTATCTTTTTAAAACGATACTTTTTTTTATTAAAATATTTCAATACTAAATAATAGTATTAATAGTATTCTGACTATAAAAGTAAAAATTTTTTTAAACTTAACTTTATTTTACAGAAATTTTTCTAAAAAGATTTAAGTAAATCGCTTAAGCAAAAACAAACAGAAATTTTGTTAAAAATTATAAAATAAACTACTAAAAAGAAGCAAAACAAAAACTTGAAAATGCTTAAAATTCCAACACCATCTATAAATGCATCAACCGGCAGTGGAGGGAGTGGGGGTGGTACTGGTACTGGCGGTTCATCTGGTCCAACATCTGTTCAAGATACCAGTGGTTTGTCAGCTAATAATGATATTAAAGTAAAAACTGCTTATAATGGCGAAATTATGATTACCTATATTGAGGAGAATGTTACTTTTGAACGTTTGTGCCAAGAGATCCGGGGAATTTGTCGTTTTTCACCCGATCAAGTAAGTTAGTTTACTTAAATTTTTATCATTTAAATTCGTTTTATGTTATTTTTTAAGCCATTCACAATGAAATGGGTTGATGATGAAAATGATCCTTGTACAATATCAACACAAATGGAATTAGATGAAGCAATACGTTTATATGAGATCAATAAAGATTCAGAACTGGTTATACATGGTGAGAAAATGAGTTACACTAAATAAAAAATTCTAATAATGTTACTATTAAGCCACTTGTATTATCAAATTATCAAAGTTTTTTGTTACGCCGCTTATTATTCAAAGTTTTTTTTTTTAAATTACATTAATAATGTCCATTAATTATATACGATTTGGGACTTATCAATGAATTAAGTATCAAATTTCTAAACTTTTTAGAAATTTATACCCGCTTGAACGAAATTTTAACGGATATTATAAATTTTCACTTCATTTTTGATAAGAATTACAAGCCGGGATGTAGACACAGGTATACGTTTCGATTTACCTATGGCTGTGTGCCCGTCCCATCGACAACAGTGGCTATTTAAACTAAACTTATTAAATTTGGTATAAGCAAGTTTGGTATAGAGGCAATAATTTAACAAAACTTAACTCGGAAATTTCAAACAAACAATTGCAGTGATGAGCCACTATCACAGTAAAATTTTGTTTTAGTTATATCCATTTTTAGCACTTTTCCAAAAAATTTTTTGAAAAAAGTGCTTATTAGTTTCACTCTGTCCGTCCGTCCGTCCGTCCGTCCGTCCGTCCGTCCGTCCGTTCGTCCGTCCGTCCGTCTGTCCGTGTGTCTGTTTACAAAACTTCTACATTCTTAAAGATAGAAAGCTGAAATTTAATACGTACATAGATCTTTACTGGAAACTTATTTTCGTAGAGCAAAATTTTTACCTATCTCCCCCCCTCTAGAAGTTATACCCCTCCAAAGCACTAAAAATGGCCTATTTTAACTATTTGTTGCAATGAAACCATAAGCATTTTTGAAATTTTGCAAACGCAGAAAGGCAGTGGCTTGCTTCCCGTACCGCGGTATACTATAGTTAAACTTTAGAAAAACAAAATTGCCGTTCAAATTTACCGTTATCTAAAGTCCTTTTTTTCCGAATTTTTGATGTCGTTTTTTTTTCTAGACCCCAGACTGTAGAAGCTTGAAATTTAAGGAGCTTTTAGACATTAACAAATAGTTCATTTTGTTAGAAGAAAATTTTTTTCCATCTCCACCCCCTCTCAAGTTATCACCTCTTGAAATTCGTAAAATTGGAATTTTTGACACCTTATATTTCCGAAACCGCAAGCTTTTCCAAATTTTTATAAACGCAAAAAGCTAACGGTAAATTCCATGAAATTAAAAAATATAATTATTTTTCTTAACTCGCACAATTAAACCTTAAAATCGAGCATTATGTTAACCCATCTTTATATTAATTTTTGCTTTATTTCAAAGACTGAATAAATCGTTCATGCTAAATATATGCAATCCTAGAAATAGTTTTGTGTATGAATGAAAATAATTTTAATAGTGTGATAGGTATACATAGACTGTATTTAAAAGCAGAATTTTCACTTGTTGAAGGGAAAAGTGCTACAATACAAACCATTGGTTTGACCCAACTTTATTATATTTGTAGTTATGTCCAACTATGTATTGATTTCCTCCTTTATTTAAATATACATTTTCAAAAATTTTTGACCTTAAATTTAATAAAAGAATTTCTAAAGAATTTAAAAATTATATGTGTAATACAGAGTTTCCGAGTATTAAGTTATAGATATCTTATATAGTCACATAAAAGTTTACGAGGTATTAGCAAGAATCTTTCCTTAATATTTTGAAAATTTAAGTTTGGAGATTTTGGAATAAACTTTGAAAATAAAATTGATTTTTATTTCATAAAAGCATACAAAATTTTTTCAAAAGCGTACAATTTTTAGAAAAATTTTACTGTCTGGAACCCATTTTTTTAACAACGAAAAATGAATTTCTTTGTTTGCTTTGTACAGCTTTCTTTATAGTTTTGTTTTTTTCTTCATACTCATTGTTTCTTATAAAAATTTAAAATAATTACTATCTTGAATATTTTATTGAGGCTTCAAGAGATGAAAAGAGTTGTAATGCGATAGTTTTATCAAATGAATAAATGAAATATTGTCAAAGCGAATACCATACAATTCCGTTACAATTACATTTATCAAAAATATTTTGTTAGAAGAATATTCATAAATAAAATTTTAAAGCTCTTAATTTATGCCTTGGGAAAAAAGTTTATTACTCAGTAATTAATTTTTGCGCTTAACCAATTGCTGCATTGTTATATGATAGCGTTTTGTTTGATGGCTTCGATTTCAAGTGGTGACAGTATTTTGAAAAAATTCAAGTCTTTTATTCTAGTTATCTAATTTTCTTTTCATAGTTTCACAAATCTAATGTTAAAGTATGATAAATTTTTTCGGAAAGTTAGACTCTTCGACCGTTATTTACAACTTCTGTTAATTATACATGCATATAAATACTAAATGTGCGAGTTCTTCGCTACTGTTTTATAACTTCGTTTAATTCTCTAAAAATTGTAAAAAAGAAAATAAAAAAAAGAAAAACCTATTCTATACATATGGAAAAACAAAATTTAATTTTATTGTGACAGTTTTTACAAAGACTCTTCAAAAATGAATTTCTGGCTCGGAAAAATTCATTATACAAATTAAGTTCGGAAAAATTAATTACATAAATAAGCATCCTGATTAAAAATAGGCAGAGTAACGAAACCAAATATATGAAGCTTTTGAACTACTTTTATTATAATATCTTGCTAGAATGACACAAATTATCATCATTTATTAGAACATTGTTGGATTCACAATATTTTCATCAACATCTTATCATCATCGTCATACATTCTATTGTTTGGTGTGTTAACATGATGTTGTAATATTTCTTGAAGGCAAAAGGCATCTTTGTCATCAAAAAGACACAAACAAGCAGAAAGAAAAGCAAGCGAGAAAAGAAAAATTTATGAATATGTAGATGGCAGGATAACAGTCAAGTCTACATAATAAATGTAAATTAAAGGTTATTGCCATCAAAATTTTTGTTTTGTTTTTCGCATCATCATAATTTATTATTCTTTAGAAAAATTTTAACCCCTTAGTTTGATAACTAAATATACTTGTTAATTTAATATTGCACTCCAATTATTGTAATTGAGTGATATACGTAAAAAATTAAAAAAGAACGATAAATACTATTTAGAAAATAGTATTTTTCATTTTACCATTACAATTTTAGAGGAAATGTGTTTATTATATAATTACCACATCTTCTTACTAATACCAGTTCTAATTGTGATGTTCTTGAACAGGTTGACTTTTAATTTTTATTTCTACGATTCTTCAAATTTGTGGAAACTTTAGTTAATATTGCGAATGGACTACAAACTATGAAATTTATATTGCGTCAAAACTTGGGAAGAATAAATTGAAAACTTCTATTCATAACACAAACATTCGAACCCTTTCATTATTCTAATAAATACAATACAGTATTCAAAACAACGTTTAATAATTAATAAGTCAAGAATTATTTTTGAATTACGAGTCTTTTATCCTTTTATATTTGTAATATTGATCATGTTGATACACTTACGTAAAATGATAAAAACCAATTATTATAACGTAAATGTGAAAAAATAATAGTTAAGAAAGATATGTTACATATTATATGTATATATATAAATCCAAATTATCAAGTAGTTCTTTAAAATGACAATAGAAAGTTTAAATCAAGTATGATACAATTAAATTTAATAAAGAAACCACCTCAAATTACCAAAGGGTTAATTTTTTTGCAGCATTATTGCATTTTTGAATAAAAACTTTTCTTTAATATACATACATACACTTATTATTTATACACTTTTTATATACTTTTTATATATATATACCCACATATTACTTTAGATTGACTTTCATTTACTTTGGATGTGTTTGTAATTATGAAACAAGAAATATGTTAGAACTATAGAACATCTTGGAAATTTTTGATTGATAGGACAAAATTTTTCAAGCATTTTAAAGTTAAATAATATTTTGATAAATAGAACTTTTGCTGTGCTAAAAAATTACATACCTTTTTGTTATTTTTTTTTGGCGAACGTAAAATATTTCAACATAATTTAACACAATTTGAAAGCTTTTTTAATTTGTTATGAGCTTAAGAATACTGTCAAATATTTCTGTTTTCGGCTTAAAGAAGAAATTAATGTTGAGTTTAAAACAAATGAATGATGAAATAGCAATATGAGATTTTAGTCAAGAAATTTCAGAAGATAGATCTTGTTTTTTTTCTAAAATGTGTTTAAAATTTCTTCACAAAGTGAAACGTTTAGTCGATAATCTGAGAAAAAATGCAAAAATCCAATTGAAAAAATGAGTAATCTTATTGGAAAAACAAAATTTCCATTAGAAAAACGGAGAATTCTGATTTGAAAGTGAATAATAGGTTAGAAAAAAAAGCGATATACACGATTAAGCTGTTAACCCCAAGGATTTGAATTTAATGATATGAAAAATTTCAAATTATTAATTTTCTTTTTAATTTAACAATGTCGCGTTGTCGACATATTTTGTCACCATATTCTAGTAGCTTTTTCGTGCGACATGCAACGCAAAGATTACATATTCAGTCGATTTGTATTCGATAACTAACATTCATTTTGAAGTTGCTAAAAACATAAGCTGTAAATATTTGAAAAAAAAATTAAAATAAAAAACAATCAATAAAAAATAAATAAAGAAAATTTACGTATCAGTAACATAATGATGTACATAATTTGAATATTTTGAACTTTCTGATTCTTCATTTATTAAATTTTTTATTTTAGTTTTCAGATTCACTATCTGAATCTGAACCAAAAAATCAATATCCGAATTGACGTGTATTCTTTAATTTGACGTGTCAAAAACAGAACATGTAGTTTTTGAAAATAATACAACTTAAATGTTTCGTTTTCAGTAGTTTCGCGCATTTACGTACAGTTTTTAACGTGACAGATAATCGGCATAGTATAATTAATTCACTCTTTTAGCTCAATTTTTCTGAATATTTTGTTTGATATGAGTTTGTCTTACTCAACCAGACTAAAGCATTTGTTCGCCCACCATACAAATGTGTCTAATTAAATGACACATTTGCATATTAAAAATCTTGTCTAAAAAATAAAAATAAGATTTTGCCTGGTGCTTTTCATCATAAGCGAATTAACTTTAGGTTCACTAAAGTTCCATTGAGTTTTACAATATACCGTAGTTTTTTCTTTATATTAAATATTTTAGATTGTTGATATTTTTTGTTCTATTTTGCGGGTATTTTTAATATTGGTTATTATGGAAATATGGTATAGTTAATATTAATTTTTATCTTATATGAAAAACAAAAAAATAAAATACAATATATTATAGTGACCTGACCAGGCTTTAAATTCGAGGCCCTTCAGTCAAATGACTATTGTAATAACCGCTGCACCACTGTTCAGCTTTGGTTTTGATTCACACTAGGTTGAAAAATCCTTTTCTGAGCTGAGACAACACGATTTATCTTTCTTCAAAAAAATTTTTATTTTTGAATCTGCTTTATTTTCACACTGTCTATTAAAAATTAGATTCTTTTTTGTATGTGCACTTAACGGCAAAAGTCCACGTGCGCTTGAAATTTATGTTCTTATAATTTTAAAAAAACGTAAAGTGATTCCAAAATCATATTTTATTGTTAAATTATAAAAGTTCTATGATATTTTTACTGATAGTAATATTTTTATTTATATTATAAAATATTAATAAGCCGAATCATTTCGATTAGAAGAAATTATTGCCGTCATCCATTCTGCATTAATTGAACTATCTTTTTAGTAACTTCTGCATCAATTTTGACCCATTCTTCTCGCAACGCAAGCTTCAGCTTGTTTGATACGTCCCTTATACGAACTCTCCGTCCTAATTCGTCCCAAAAATGTTCTATAAGATGCGTATTTGGTGACTAGGGTGGGGTGTGTAATTGGTTTTTTATGTTAAACATTCTTTAAATATACTTGTTTATTGCTTTATTTTAAATTCTGTTTTCAAATATTCACGTAATCATATCTATTCATCGCACTTTCAATAAAAACCAGGTTTCCCACCCCAGCTTCTGACATGCAGCTTCACACCAAAGGCCACACCAAAATCTTTTAAAATATAAAATTTACTCTCGTCGATAAAAATAACTTCAGACCAGAATTTATTTTGGCATTTTACATGTACTTTGCCAAACTTCAGTCTTTTTATTCAGTTTTTTCATTAATAAAAGGTTCTTTCGACTGTTGTAATCCCTTTTATGTAATACTCTCCTATTGATAGACTCACTGGCTTCTTTCCCCAGTTTTTATTTGTCGCTATATTGCTCTTTCTTCTATCATTAAAAATTTTTGATCTAGCCTACGCCGAGCGTAGTTTTGACGTTAAAATCCCGGTATTATGAAAATTTTTAATAATGGTTTGAACCGTAGATTTACTCTTTTTAGTTATTTTAGCTATTTCGCCTAAAGATTTGCCAACCATATGTTGTTTGACTATCATTTTATCAATATTCAAATTATATGGTTGTTATCAATACGTTCTGCGTTCACCAATTTATAAATATGAAATAAAACTTGTAAAATTCTGTCTGTTAATGATTTATAAATCTATTTCATGATTGAGTAACGGGAAAATGAGTTCGAATTCAAGCGTACGTATACTTTTGCGGTCGACATTTTCATTTTCATTTTAATCATGCTTTGCTAATTTTTGTAGTTGTTATTTTTGGAAAAATAAAGTTGGAGCAAACCAATGGTTTGTATTGTAGCACTTTTCCCTTCAACAAGTGAAAATACTGCTTTTAAAAACAATCTATGTATATTCACCACACTATTAAAATTATTTTCGTTCATAAACGAAACTATTTCTAGGATTGCATATATTTAGGATGAACCATTTATGCAGTCTTTGAAATAAAGCAAAAATTAATATAAACAGGGGTTAACATAATGCTCGATTTTAAGGGTTAATTTTGTGAGTTAAGAAAAATAATTATATTTTTTAATGTCATGGAATTTCCCGTTAGCTTTTTGTGTTTATAGAAATTTGAAAAAGCTTGCGGTTTCGGAAATATAAGGTGTTAAAAATTCAAATTTTACAAATTTCAAAAGGCGATAACTTGAGAGGGGGTGGAGATGGAAAAAAATTTTCTTCAAACGAAATGAAGCATTTATTAGTATCTAAAAGCACCTAGAATTTCAAGGTTCTACAGGCTGGGGTCTAGAAGAAAAACGACATTAAAAATTGGGAAAAAAACAACTTTAGATAACGGTAAATTTGAACGGCCATTTTGTTTTTCTAAAGTTTAACTATAGTATACCGCGCTAGGGGAAGCAAACCGTTGTCTTTCTGCGTGTGCAAAATTTTAAAAATACTTATGATTTCATTGCAACAAATAGTAAAAAAGGCCATTTTTAAGTTTTTGGGGGGGAGATAAGTAAAAATTTTGTTCTACGGAAATAAGTTTCTAGTAAAGATCTATGTACATACAAAATTTCAGCTTTCTATCTTCAAGGGTGTCGAAGTTTTGTAAACAGACACACGGACAGACGGACGGACGTACGGACGGACAGAGTGAAACTAATAAGCACTTTTTTTAAAAAATTTTTTGGAAAAGTGCTAAAAAACTATATGTATGTAAAAATATAAAAACATTATAGTTAAACAATAAAATATGATTTTGGACTTAACTTTACGTTTGTTTAAAATACTTTTAGACAAAAGTAGAGTTTTGCTGTTGTATGTGTATTTGAAATAAAATTTTGAAGGGTATTTTGGAAGCGGGCGATTATTTAAAATTATTCTTTTAGTTCCAACATTGATATTTACCAGAAACGTTCCGTAGAAGAAAATTTTTACGTATCTCTAAAAATTATAGCCCTTCAAAATCCAAAAAACTTCTATCGCGGCATGCTATATTTGAACTAAAATTGCTGTTCCTAAGATCCGATTTTTCCAAATTTTTGATATTTTTTAGATAGCTTTTAGACATTATATTTATTTCATTGAAAGAATTTTTTTTTCTGTATCCACCCCCTTTCAAGTCATCGCCGCTCGAATTTCGAATTTTTGGTATCTTATATTTCTGAAATATAAAAATGCATAATGAAATATACCCGTACGAATTTGCTATCCTATATATGCGAACAAATATGCAATAGATTACTATGGGACAGACTATGACTTTAAGTTGTCATATTACGATATTAATTTATGCCAAATTTCAGTTTTGTGTTTCCAATATTTTCTAAGATATAGTCAAACTACTACTGAAGTTGTATGGCAGCTACCAGAAAGAGCTAAGCAATTTCAACGAATTTTATCAAACACATTGACCTTACTAATATATTCGTTTGTGTCGAATTTCAATATTATAGCTTTTATAGTTTCTAAGATGTAGCCAAATAATTTTTGAAGTTGTATGGCAGCTACCAGAAAGGAACAAGCAATTTCAACGACTTTTATCAAACACATGGGCTCTACTAATATATTTGTGCAAAATTTCAATACCAAATCTTTTATAGTTTCTGAGACATCGTCAAATAAATTTTGAAGTTGTGTTGCAGGCTTCTGACATTTAATATAATAAATCATTTGTGAAAATTTGGTGAACTTAGCTTAATTAGTTTTTGAGTTACCATTGGACGGACGGACGGACAGATAAAGTTAAATCGACTCAGTACTCGACGCTGATCAAAAACATACACTTGAGTCTATATCTAAGGCCATTATTTCTTAGCGTTACAAACGTTTAGGCGAATTTAGTATACCCTTCGAACATACGTTCGTACGGGTATAAGCTAACGGTAAATACCATGTCAAAAGTTAATTATTTTTCTTAACTCACGCAATTAACCTTCAACTTTTATTTTTATGTTAACGCCTCTTTCAATTTTTTTTTCGTTTTTTAAATATTGGATATATCGTTCATCCTAAAGGTATGCAATCTGTGAAATAAATTCGTATATGAATGAACGCAGTTGGTAATGTATAGCTAGATCGTTTTTAAAAGCCCACCACTTGATCAAAGGAAACTTAAATATAATTTTTTTTTTTAAATCGGTTCTCTATTTTGAAGAAATTCATTCCCGGTGAAAACTTGGTATTTGAAATTTGGTGCAATCAATAGTTGGTTATAGTTGGATAAACAAGGTTGTTGTATAGTGTACGACTGGTAAATATTATCAACTTCAAGAATTTTCAAAATTTAATTTTGTAGTCAGAAAAAAACGAAAAATAACATCAAAGGAGTTTAAACCGTTTCATAAACATGTTTATTATTCAAAATTATAAAGACTTGTATTTTATGCATATTTTGACTCCAAATTAATTATTTTCAAAATTATCATTAAAATCTATTTTTTTTTTAATTCTTATCAAAAACAAAAACAATTATTTTAAGGACTATATTAAATAAAATGTAAATACAAAATAAAAGCTGAGTAAAGGAATCATCCTTTTCTTTGCATAATAAAAACAATAAAGAATAATAAATAAAACAATATTTGCCTGTCATGAACATATAAAAACGTTTTTAAATCACACCAACCTGATAACAAGAATTCTGCGCAATTAATATACAGGGTGCTATTCATTTATTCACATTTACATCACCTACTGTATATAACCAAAGGTTTTAAAAATACAAAGATGTACTAACAAGATAAATTTCTGTTTAAAAAAATAATTCTGGGATACCAAACATTGACAGAACATAAGTACAGTTTAAGTTTTTGGGTTTTTTTTATTATTTTTACTCTCTTTCTTTAATTTTTTCTTATTTTTTAACAATTTTTTTTTGGTTCTGTTTCTTTGACTTTTTTGCATTAAATTATACACATATTTAGGGCACATAGAAGATACACATATATACACATCTTTATTCTCAAGACGTAATACACAATTTGCTAATCCATACATACGGTGTATTCAAAGTTGGTCATTATACATTTTGTTCAGAAATATATTTTATATTAGGTATTTTCGAATAAATTAGAAATGTTAATGGTGATTTAAGATGTTTGGAAAATAAAATAGGATTAAATACAAAATATAAAATTGTTTTATTTTATTTTTAAATAACAAAATGAAATTTCATGTCCTTACAAATTAGAATAATGAATCATAGGTATCAAATCAGGTTTTAGGTAATTTATTCTGTTTTTTAGCTAAAATAAAAATAGTGAATACATACATACATAAAAATAATTGTTTTTGAAAAAAAAAATTTTGAATTCACTTTTTTTATTAACTACATAGCATTTTTCTTAAAACTAATAAAATGCTTTATTGTTAATTCGTTCTTTGGAAAAATAAACGTAGGTATAGCATTTGCGTTCTCCTTTTCTCGTTGACTACTGTTTCTTATAGAAATGCAATCTTCGACGCTACATCTTCAGGTCATTTCTATTTATATAAAAGTAATCAAATATATTATTATATTTTATTTAAATATGCATACAATAAAAACTTCCAACAATACACCGAATTTTACTAATTTATTGAGTCATTTTTTCTTTTTAAATAAACTTTAGTACCAAATTCACCTTTATACTGTTTTATAATAAATATTATGAAGGAAAGACAAAATTTAATTAATATAAATTATAAATTTTCATTTTATTTAATAAAACAAGAAATTACTATAATTGTTCACTAAATTTAAATTTAAATTAAATTTTAAACAACAAATACAATTATTTTACCGCTTAGCGAACCCGGAATTATTTTTTATGAACTGTTACTGAATGACGAAAGACTTAAAAAGTAACAATGTGTCTAATTCAAAATTTCGCTCCACATTTTGAAAAATTAAAAAATTTGTTATTATCAAAAAATCAGTTCAATGCTTTTAATTGTTGATTTCTCTTATAATATACGAAAATAAAAATAAAAAATATTAAGGAAACGAAAAATGATCTAAGTACTTTTTCAGTAGTTGTTTTCAAAATAAAAAAATATTTTAATAGAAAATAAATTGAGGAAAAACATGCGAATTAAATCGAAGTTGACCCGATTGAAGCAGTTCGGAATTATTTTTTAAGGCGGTGGCCTTTTAATTATTAAAAGGGTAGTGCCATAATACTTAATTATAATTACTTCTAATTATAATATAAACAAGTAAAAATGTTTCAGGCGATCTTAACCGACTCAGATAACATAAGAATCTAATTAAAAACCAGTTTTTCACCTCCCTCCTCAAATGAACCTAATTACAAAAGCGGAGGCTTCTTTTTCATTGTAACCTTATGTACATATCTAAAGTTTTAAATCTACATTTTTGAAAAAAAATATCAACTAAAATTTTGAACGCTTTCTGATACAAAAATTTTTTTGATATTACCTAAAACATTATTTAATTTCTTAAGAAGAATTAAAATATATCCTGTCCTGTTATAGTCGCGTGTTCTATTTTTTTTACCATTTCGTTTCAAATGAAACATGGCAAAAGCTATGGGGAGTTATTTTTTAAAACTTATTATTAATAAATTTAAAATTGAGCACATGAATAGGGAATTTGGATTACACTAAAAGATTCCTTAAAATTGAAAAGAAGTGTTTAAAAGATATTTTCTTAATAATCTGTAACACTTTTTCTAAACTAAACAATATATTGTGTATACACATTACGTATTTGAACGTGTTGAATATTTAGCCAAGTCCTCGCCGTCAGCCGTGGTAGGGTCTCTTTTGAAACCTTAATAGATAACCCTTCCGCATTTGTTTTATTGCGTTCGTTTTATTCTATATGCTTATTAACCCAAGCCAGGTTTCGCTACTGCTGTTCCCCTTGGATCAAGGACAAACCAGGAAGCCATTCTTGATTAAACGCTATATTTTGGACTCGTATCACAAGCATGCATGTTGTGTGTATTTCTGCTCCCCTCCCACTGGGCAATGAAGAAATGTTTGTGGATAATTGTATTTGAATATTTGAAACTCGTCAACCATTCCTTTTTTTTATTCCTCATATTTTTCTGTTAATATAAATGATTAATTTTCCACCTAATGCACATCTAAAAAACTAATTTTCTACATCTTTTTTTATAATTTATTTTATTTTTAGATTTTTGTATCACAGTAAATGGTATGATTACATTTTTAAATTAATGAGTGAACTGTCCTGTACAATAAGCATATTGATTTTAAATTTAATTTATTGAAAATAAACAGAAAGAACGTAAGCATGGATGTGACCAAAAGTTTTTTTTTTTCGACGAACCTAATTGAAAGTATTAACTTTTAATTTTCAGTCAATTTATTCAGGACAGAAAATTTTTTATTCACATATTTTGATACAGTATTTCAATTAGTAATAAAAATTTTGTTTTTCATGGTTGTTAGAATTGTTTCCTAAAATTAATAATGTTTGACATGAAATAAATTTAATTTAAGAAAAAATTCTTTCTTTCAGATAATATTTAAATTTTAAAGGCAATTGTACGTTTTCAGTCAATCAAATTAATCCCTCTAAATCTAGTCGATTGAAAACTTTTCCTTAGGAAGCTGACCTTGACGGTTTACTTAGAAGCGACTTAAACATAACTTCGATCTTCATATAGGTCACTTAAATGCACATCGACTTAAACATAAACCGCTGTTTGTTCCAAACATGTTTTCATAATTGATGTTTGTCATAGATGACAGAATTCAAAGCACATTCTACTTAACACTTCATGATTGTAATACTAGGGTTCTTTGAGATTCAATAAAATGTGTTTTATAAAATGCATTTTTATACAAAATCAAACCATTTTTGCTTTTAATAATTTTACATATGTACTTATTTTAAAATCATATTTTTTGAGCAAAAGTTAACTTCAAAAGATTTCTCTTAAGTAAAAAAGATTCTGAATATTTTTTATGGATTACTGCTTCGAGATTAAGCATTGAAAAATATCCATACACGTCATAAGTATTTTTTACAAAATTATATTTTTTATAATAATAAGGCATAAACCTAAAACAATTTAATCAATATCTTAATATATTTGTATTAACTTAATTCAGGTCTATAATCAAGTAAAATTGGATTCAATAGGACTGCTTGTTACTTTATTCTTTCTTTAAAAATTTTCGTCCTAATTTTAAAAGTTTAGAAACATTTGAAACTCATATTCATAAAATAAGATGGTTCAATAAGACCAAGCTCGACCTTATAATAAAAAGAAAATATTTTATTCTTCTATGCAATATGTTTTGCATATTAAATATCCCACAGTTTATCAAACCATTTTTACCATTTATGATAAATTTACATACTTTACATAAATTTTCCCGCATTTAGGTAAAAATTATTTTAGTTTTTCCTTTTCCTTACCCACCATGTATATGAATTACTTTTTATTACTTGTGTATATGAAAATTTATTGACAAATACAATGTCGAAGACGTATTAAGTATGGAAATTGGAAATCATTATTTTTTTCTAATATTTGTATGAGAAGGAAAATAATCGAGCATTTTTCGTTATTTTGTTGTTTTTCTATTATGAGACACTTTCTACATGATATATTGCACATTTTTTTCCTTTTTAAACTTTTAATGTCCTTATATTTGTATTTTATAAGAAGGTGTTGTACTATACGGAAAATAAAATTATAATATTCTGATCACAATTTTCCCTAGAGAATAACATTCGATTTGTTTCTGTTTTTGGAATCCTTTTATTCTTTTTTGTTTTGCTTTTTGTGCTTTTTGTATAGTTGTTTGTTTCTGAGTGGCATATAAATACTTTAAAGTAGACATGTAAAACCTATCAGGATAATAAAGTAAAAAGCTTAAGATCATCTAGGAATACTAAATGAATTGAAGGATGAGAAATATATAAGAGGCAAAAATAAAAAAAAACGAGAAAAAAAATAGAGTTGACCTTGTCAACTCTGTGATACCCGTACGAATTTGTTATCCTATGTGTGAATAACTAATGTGCCATAACGAACTATGGGGCAGACTATGACTTTAAGTTGCCGTATTACCATATTAATTTATGTAAAATTTCAGTACTATGTGTTTTTCCAAATTCCGGTTGTGCCAAACTACTATTGAAGTTGTATGGCAGCTACCAGAAAAAGCCAAGAAATTTTAG